TATGCCCCTTACCGGCATCCTTTCGGACAAACGGAAGACAATTTTTATTAACACTGTTAATTATCACAAGATTGTGGCATTATGATATTAGTGAAATTTTGCTGCGACATAAGGTCTATTTCAATAACGCAATAATGATTAAGAAGAACTCTGAAGATATGAGCCCTTATGCTTGTCGATTTGTAGCGGTCACATTATTGGTCATACTGGGAACACAGAGTGAAGGTATCCACCTTCAATTCAAAAACACAGACACGTTAAATTTCATTTCAACTAGGAAATGACGGACTTCTTTCGATAAAATATACAGGAGCGTACTAGCTTTTGGAAACAGGTCGTAGTGACCATGAATCGGTCCCGCATTCGAATCAGTACGAACAGCGAGCTAATGACCTTGCCCTTAGCAACCAAATCAGAAGTCCTAGAGGTTTGTCCGATTTGAGAGTCCGTTTTTTTTGCACTTTGTTGCTGTATACTTAGTCTTGACTGACCGCAAGCAGTCACTCTTGTCAACAGCATACCTTGATGATAATAATAATAATAATTCATTTTTGCTACTGAATAAAGAATTTTTGTTGTCGGGTCCTATCAAGTGTTACTTATGAAAAAATATTGATTCACTGCGAGTACATGTAAATATGCAAGGCATGCGTAAAAATGCTAGAGCTTGTTCCAGTGTTTTAAATACGCACAAATAGCATTTTTGCTTAAATTTGGATACGATCCGTTGTCGAATGTTAAAGAACAATCGATAAGCAGCACTGAATACGCATTTGTACCTACATGCATCGATAGGTTTTTTGGTTTCGCGCTACCTAGCTTCCGATTCGTTCACTAACTAGCTGTCACACGTACCAGTATATTAAACAGCACCGCTTTTCTTGTTCCGAGGAAAGGCCGAGGCTAAAGGGCCACTTAGGCCCTTTAGCCTCGGCCTTTCCAGACTTTGCCTTAAATTGAATCATGCATCGTGTCACCACCAGTGTCAATAACTTTACTGCCTTTAGCAGCAGTAACATCGTCGTGACGCTTAACAACAGTAACAATGACCCCTAGGTATGTGCGGGAAAGGAGTTAGGTGATCGCGGTCTTAGGTTGGTGGATGTACCACGCCCACCGCTACCTATGGTTGACGCTGCTTGACACATATGCACTAACGTACATAAGGTTAAACACACACTCACGCACATGCATACCATACACACAATTACACACACTTGTGAGTCCCACTTTTGCCAAGAAATCGCTGGGTTCCATCTAGTTTCCTTGCCGCAGGGTGTGCGTCTCCTTATCAGATGTGCGCTCGTTGTTAGTTGAGATAACCGATGGCGTTTGTATGCCACCAGACGCAAGCGGCTGGCGCCGCCTCTATTAGGCGTTAACAGTCAGTCGATCGTCTACCGTTAGCTCTCGCATACGTCCATCAACCTTGACTAGCTTCGATCTTCGCCGTAAGATGTTTGCACTTTTCATTTGGCAGGGTTGTCGCTGTTCTCGTTGTCCCCCCACCCCGCTTTTTTGTTTGTAAGAAACGGTGAACACTTAGCCTGCGTTGCAACGGCCCCTGTTGTTCGTACTATTGTTGTCGTCGTTGATTCTGCCTTCGACAACGAGCGCGACTTCGACTCGTTCTGTTGCCTTTTGGCAATAACCTGTTGTCACTGGCACCACCATGCACACTATTGGGTTATAATGAGCAGGGAAGTAAGGCTAAGGAGTGCTGAAAAGCGCTGTTTGGAACAACTGCCAGGACGACAGGAAAAAATTGGTATGTCGACAAGGAGCTCGAATGATGCAGCTTTCAAATAGGTTATTGAGACAAAGAAAGGAACTATGCAGAAATGTTTTAGGTAAATTTCATATAACTTACAAATTTGTTCTCTCCTGCTATGGGTGTCATCGACAGGAGAAGTACAGTTGCGTTAAATACAGGAGTACGTTAAGCTTAAGACTGTTTAAAAAGGCTTTGCCAATAGAAGTAAATAATTACACACATGGTATTGCACTATTTTACTGGCCCGTATCAGCTCGAAAATCTTGTGCGTTTTTGGCCCTGTCGTAACCGTTCGACAGATACGGCCTGACCAATTCTCTCTGAAACTTCGTAAATTGAAAGCGCAAGGAAGTTACTTATTCCATATAGATATTATGAACAGGCATGAGAATATACGAATTTTCCTAAAAATACAAATGCTAGACCCAGATCTTATTCGGTCTGCCCCATCGTTATCTCATCTTTAGCCTTCGAACTCTTTGTGCCGCGCTTGACCAACGATAGAGATTCTTGTTTCAGACCCGTTGGTCCTATTTATCTCTAGTAACATTCACGGAAATTAGTATTTTTACTTGTATTCATATTAAACTATTCTTGTCTTCACGAACAACGATAGTGCCCGGAATCGTACACTATAATGAAGGTCCGTTTAAACCTTATCTTCTATAACTTTGAATCAGCATACGCTTGTTAGGATGTTTTCTACCAGTGGATGTTGATTCCACTCTATAGTCCTCAAAGGGCTGAATTCGTTTGTTTTAGATTTTGGCGACCAAGTGGTTCTTTTTCTTTTCAACGTTACCAAAGTATTTTATGGCAACCTGTGCACAATTATATTGCCTATAAACTATCATATTAGTGAAATGAGATTACTTTGTCATTTACTATGCTTTATAGTGCGAAATCCTGACAAAATCATGCCTATAGCGATAAGTTTATATAGATTACCTTTGTTCGAGCTTTATTCAGTCGGTTATAAGCCTAGCCCTTAAAGAATCGTGTAGGCACAAAAAATAGCTATTACAAAAAAAAACACCTCCGAATTTGCTATCAATATGATCTAATGTATACACGAACTAAAGAGACGTACGTTGCTAATTAGATAGGTAAAATTACCGATCACCAATTAGCAATCAACGCTAGTACTGGCCCAGATTATCAACAGTACATATAATAGGAGTCTCAATAGAACCTTGTTGACCCATCACTATCCGGACGATACTGCCTTTTTTTACCTGCAGTTCTGACCAATCGCTAGACCACTACGTAACGTTTCGAAGAAAAAGGACTCAGAACCATATGAAGCCAGATCACTGGACGGCAGAGTGGTATCGTTTTGATATTGAACGCCGCTCATGCTAAGTGTTTCCACACGGCGTGCATCTATCCACTGCCATCCTTAGAATGGCTACTGTAAAAACTTCTTGTTGTGCTTGCGTATAGCTGTGCCCTATGTAAGGACACGCAACCTCGTTCTTTTGCTATGTCATCAGATGACTCAACCAGCTCATAGAATGGCCGTAAATGTCTGCGACGGCGATGACGACGACGAACAAAAAAGTGAAAGGCTTCTAAATGGCGTAAACAATGTAAGATAATGAAAACGGAGTCAAAAAACAGACGGTTGCAATCTTGTAAAAGATTACTAAGGCTGCTGCTGCTGCTGCTACTGATAGTACCACAGATGTGACTAGTACAGCTATTGCTTCTGCTTCAGTAACGTAAATGGCGCCGTACTTCACGTTTCAAAAGTTTACCGCCGTCCATGTCGGTGACGTCCTGCTAGCAGGTGGCCGACACTGGACTTCCACGTAGTGGAAACGTGCGCTAAAGGAACAGCACTTACTAGCGCTGTCTGTATAGTGTGAAATACGGTAGTGGAATTGCGACGGTGAGGAAGGGAGGTTTGTAGAAACGAGTTAGTCTGCCGACAACGTACCGTAATCATATGGTAGTACGGATGATGACGAAGCATGATGATATGTGATCTGTGCTGGTTGATGCCGTTGACGGTGGTCGCGGTAACGGCGCCGGCGACAGCTGTTCAACCGACTGAGCTGTTTTGTTCGACGGCCGTACGTCTATTATTGTCATTGCGCTGCGGCGAGTGCTATTTGAAAGTGGGGTGAACTACAATAGTGGTTGGTGATGGTAACGAGTCGACCGAGCAGAATAGTACGTCGACCAGCAACAACGACGACGACAAAAAAGAAGGTGTGGGTCTCCAAATGAACGAAAACTGAGCTACTATGCACCAACACAAAGTCGCGCAGCCGCAGACGTTCACACACAATTCCTTCGATACCATGGAGCAAAATCGAAGCGATTATGCTGTGGTCCTTATTGTCGATTTCACCTTGCTGTCCTGCTGTTTCTTCTCTTCCGTCAATAACGATAGATAAACCTGTAATGTCGGAGTTTATCATCGATAAATACACACATATAAAATTGATTGCAGGACATCTGTTTGGTTTAAAGTGTTGCAGGAACTGCAGAGACAGTGGCTGGTAGAAAATTTTGCTGCTATACAATTCAGTTTTAGCAATAAGGTGAATTGTAAAACGGTAGGAGACAGTCTAACAGGAGAAGACGCATTTCGTCGAAAAAATGAAATACCCTTATTGGGGTCGTTTATTTGTAATAAGTAAATGTCAATAGAAATTGCACTTCGCAAAGTTTTACTACCTCGTGGTGCCTGCCAACTTGAGATCAGCCTGATGGTCTAACTCCGTTGTTGACCTATGACAAATTAAGGCGAACAGAACCCGCGTCGAAAGTCAACCTGAGTTATGCCAAGTCTGAATTATGTTAAAATTTTCGTATGCCAAACAGCTATGACATAATGGGTTTTTTAGGTTTTGTTTTTTTAATTTGAAACTTTCGAAAATATTCGTTAGTAAAAATTACTATGGCGTTACTGTTTCGCTTTTAAATAACGTTAGAAGATTATTAAGATAATTATTTTACCTACTAGAAAAGTAAAATAGGGGAAAAACTTGTGTCACTATGCGTTGTTTTCACATGGCTTAAGCGTGGAAAGAGCTTTATGATGTAGGTATAATAAGACCGTAGGTAAATGTGTGTCACGGTAATTATGGCTAAATATTGGTAAAAAATGTTAATCTAATCGAAAAATATGAATTTAAATATTCTTCGTGAATATTTTACTTTGGCAGGGCAATAAACATACCGTTAATATTTACATTTTACTTATTAATTTTATATCTTTCCGATTTATACCTAATTACTGTTTTTGTTTTTATTTGATATCTCGTAAAAAAAATATATACCAGTTAGTTGCCGCTCAGTGTACGTATGATATGACTAGAGCTACGTGCGTGCCGTAATGAATCAATAATTGCGTATTTTTATATGATCTTTTCACGACCTGAAAGAAGTGGTAAAAACTGGCGGTCTTTGGATTTTATTTATCGTTTTCAGTACTTCAATATGAAAATTCATCGAAAATCTATCGCTTCTAAGCATCTGCCATATTCCGGTCTCTTATATCCGATCTTGTGGCCGTATTTTCAGTACACGCTGTGTGAGTTTAGAAAATGTAAGCTCATGTTAAAATAATGCAGAACAGTGAATTATGCTATAGTATAGCGTAGTTTCTATTTTTTTATCATCAAAACCAATAATTTACTAATACCTACATGTCTGAGCGATATCTTACATTTGTACCAGCCGTAAGCTTCTATAGCGTCTGTGCAAACGAAATTTCTCATACGAACTTGAATAAATCCGAATGACCTGTCCAGCTGTGACAGAAGTACGCTACAGAGATCAGACCGACTCTAATTGTTTGTAGTTGTATTTTGTTATGTTGGCTTTACCTCTACTAATTATACGATAGTGAAATATATAAAATAACTTCGTGAATAGTATTCAACATATTAGTAATATATGACGATGATACTGTTCCAACATAATACACAATATGGATGAAGAAAAAATCATTTTTAACATAATTATACCTTCCCCCCTCTATATCTGTATCGTTGGGTATGGGCGGGCATTACGGAACAATCCTGTTAGTACGCCTCAAGCACTAGGGCCGCTTTCATAGCTTACTACTTAATTGCCAATAAATATAGTATTGTCTACTATTTATAACGCTTATAATAAATCGCGGTATTAACAATGATCCGATAATACACATCTATCATGTAGGTCTATCTGAGGCCATTGGTTTAAGCGAGGATCCATCATTGATTTTTTGCCTCGTTGGTTGAGTAATTACGATGACGATCAGGCCTCGTTATTTTTAGAAGAATTATTATCATTATTATTGTTCCTGCATTAACTGAGATACTCGCCATGCTTGAATCGTTCTCTTCAACAAATACCATTGCTTGTCCTGGCAAGGACTTGTGATTAGCTGAAGGAGATTGCTTAGCAGGGACAACATCGCATTCAAGCTGATGCCGTATATCGAACAATTCGAACATACGTCATTTTTGGCTTAGTGATAAGTTGTCATTGAGTACATGCACAGTAAATATTGTTTTTTTTTCCGTTTTAAGACGTATCCACATTACGGCCTGTCTATCGCTAATGAATACGCGTGCTCTGTATAGCACCTGTATGTATACTCTATTTACAATGTGTTCTCCTTGTGGCGGTACAGCGGTAATGTGCTGATCTACTAAACTCAGGTACGTGTAGTAAGGGCACGTGCGGTAATTTTGGTTCGAAGTCAGGTGAGTACAACCTTCGTTTAGCTTTGGAAGCCAGCCGTTCGTACCGGACGTAAATCTAAAAAATATTTAATTCTTTACTTTGCTTTACATTGAATGCTACATTGAGTAGCGTTGTACGGTAAACAATGACAAGCAGGTAAGGAACCTGAGGCCAATCAGACTGTGGTGCAAAAATGACGCCCCAGCACGAATTCAGTCACACTATGCCGCATCATGCTCGCCACTCAGGATATTAGCACGGATCTGAGACAACTCCGAATAAATAGGTTAGTTTTTAAGCTTTTTCGAAAATAACAAGGTCATGCATACTATTCATTCTGCTACACATATTTTACTATATATTTGTCATGTGAACAAATCCTGTAAATGTGCCTTAAACAAATTTCATAGGAAATTCAAAAGAAGGAGGTTTAAAACGGCCGGCCACGATGCAGGCTTTCTTCGGCGTCGTGCCGTAGTCACAACGAATGAAATAAATCTACATTCTTCTGTAAATACTTAAACTGCAGATCGTGCTTTTCTTCCCATACGAAAGTAACTAGCTGTTCTAAATAACAAGCATCTGCTATGCTATAATGTATATAGGCAATCATTATATGAACGATATTACACAAGTATAAAACTGGCAAAAGATACCCCCGCAAGGTGGCTCGTGGGGGCGAACTATGAGGGGGCTAAAAATATGAAAAGAAAAACGTGCAGACGAGCAGTTCCACCAACAACTGATGCCAGCTTATTAGCGCTGAAAAAAGCTGCTGGATAGAAGATGGGTCTTAAGTGTCGGAAGCAAATACATAATTACAATTAGTACCATTATTACTACGGCTAGCACTCTGAGACGAAAGAAGATCATTCCTGCTCCGTAAAAGGAGCTATTCGAGTCTCAAAATACAAAGAAAGCAACACAATAGAGCAACGCAGAAGATTGTCACCTTTTGCCTGATGCCATATGAACTAGCATATCCGTTTCCTTCATTTTTACCCAATATCCCTCCCCGGCCACCCAGCCAAAATCCGAGTCGTAATGGAGTTGCCAGGTCTAAGCATAAATAGATCTCTTTTCGAACATCGGTAACCGATCGTAAACAAATCGCTGCAATTTGGAAATTCGGCTGATGCTCGCGCGTGAGGTCAGAGCGCTGCTCGACACTATCGACAAACAATACGTATGGAGGTGCCACAATTAACAGTAATTCGTGTAAAGCATCGACCCCGATCATTATTACCGCGGTGTATTCGGTGCAACGAGGTCTTGCAACTTTCTAAAAGCTATAAAAATCTATGTAAAGCTGCGCGTGGCACTAACCACTAGATCCTGTGTTTGAGCGTCTGTAAGCGTTTGTCTTAGTCGCCGTCGTTTTTAGCTTCCATTGCCGTTGTTATTGATGATAGACATAGAGCGGCTGACGTCCGTAACTTACCGGCCCAGGACCGTATTCCCGCATTAAATTGTGTCCAGTGAGCTTTTGGGTCGCCCTCTTTCGACTACCTAGTGAAGGAACGAGGCGCTCGAGCCAAATTGGCGGCGGTAGCATCAGTACTGGGTAATTCAGCCAACGCAAACGAAGCTTAGGCTTCTCCTGCTGCCGCGAGTGAAGACGCCATCAGTCTCAAGGCGTGCTTGCGAAAAGTGCCAGTTCGACAATAGAACAACCTGCCTGCCTGCACCGAAGTTTCCGCCTTATCGCATCACTTGAAAGTGAAATTGCGGAAATGGCATTCGGTCCAAACCTCAGAACCCGTTAGAATCGCTGGAAGTGCCACAGGAGTTACGTGCTTGGTGCTTTCCTCATTTCTTTGGCGTATCTTGCCTCTCCCGCCTGCCTTATCATCCTCTTTTTACACAACAACAATAACAGCAACTATTGCGACTACGACTCTGTTCTCAAAAATAGAAGGTACACAACATACGCCGATATCCCAAAGGTCTGAAGAGGTCTCCTAGGCCGGCCACGTTGTACTTTTTGCTGCTGTTGTAGTAGCCTTATTGATTGACGCTTAGCAGAATACGTAGAAAGCGCGCTATCGCTGACAAAGCAGTAGAGTGAGACTAAGTGAAGCGCGCGGGGCATTTTACGAAGAGATACAAAGATCTCGTCGGCGGTGGAGGAGTTACGTGGCCTGCACCCGCGCCCCCTTGACACCGTCTTTATCCCTCTACCGCGAACGAAAGCGTGAATCTTTCAATCCTTGGCAAGAAATGAGATTCTCTCAAAGCGTTAACGAGAGAGCTGGAAAGATTCACTTCTTTATTGTGACTTTACCCCTGCGCAACTACCGCCAGCCATAGCGTTCGCGCACCAAGACGCTTCAGTTAGTTTAGACGCTGATTTGCCTTCCTCTTTTCCATCCATGTGCAACACTTGCCATCCCGTGTGTTTCATGCCGTCGCTGTTGTTGATATTGTTATCGTCGATCCGGCTGTTGCCAATAGTACTGTTTATTCTCTTGAGCCTCACTTAGTCTTCGGTGCAGCTGTAGCCTCGGTTTGAAGTAGTCGTTGTCGCCGTCATCATCGTCGACACGCCATAGCCACCGCCACTCGGTCGCGGCGAAGATCCAATCACTCTTCAGCTGCGATGAGCATTTCATACTGCTCCTTTGCATATTGGTTCCAGGCGGCTTTGCCATCCTGCAATGAAATATCAGGTCAATGAAAACGTTGACATTGAGCGGCAGATTGTAATAACAGTAACAATCAATCATAGAAATCGAGAAGCTCGATCGAATCTATCCAATAAGGATCATATGCATATAACACTGGTGGTAGGGGTTTCCCGAAAAGGTTGTATAAGATCAGCGTCAGCAATATAGTCTAATATGTACAGCCAATTGCTACATTGTGGGGCAATATATATATATATATATGTACATGTGAAGATTCGAAGATGGACTTGTTTTAAGAATAGTCGTTATTGACTAGGTTATTTCTCATCATATAGCCATAGTCGAATCACTAGACACCACCTCTCACTTCTTCGCTAAGAAACATCAAGTATATAGTCGTTATTGTGAAAATATGACGTGTGACTACGTCGGCTACGTAGCAGGGTGAAATTAAAGTAACGGCTCTTATAGCAGTGGAAATAAAATTGCCCCTTTCTGAAATATGGTAGGAAAAACTTACCAACGATCTAAGCATAAATGTTAGTAAAATACATGAAGTACACTGTTTCTAATGTACAATAATCATCACTTTAGATGCCTCATTTAAACTATTTGTTGATGATTTAACACTAAAAAGAAGAAAAAGGTCGTTTTTACAATATATCTTCGTGTCTAATAATGCTTCCGCACATTGGCAACACCAAGAAAAACCTAAACAGATACGGAAATGTATAAATTGGGTGTCAAATCACGATGTTCTCCCTATTGTCCAGTGACTATGAGAGCCAATATTTACGAATCGTTCAGCCCACGTTATTACGTAATAGTTTCAAGTCAAAATAGTCTTTACTATGAATAGGTATATACTAAAGTTTCTGTTCGTTGACCAGAAAAAAATATTCCCAAAGTGTCTGTAAACGATTACTCCGGTCGGCAGCGTGTAGCATTTGCCAGCTGCTCTAAGGATATCAGCAATATTAGGGTAGCTGAAAGTTTTTAATTTAAGTACCAAGTCGCCTATTCGCCATCTATCGGAAGTGACTGCAACTTATTTCACATGAGTGCATTGTAGTAGTCGTCAAACCCGCTTGTTGAGGGGTACTTATTCCAATAGAAGACGTTAGCTCGTCAGAGTGTCTGCTACCTGATTACCGTTTTATGGAAAGGGGATATCAACTATAGAAATTGTTAAATATGAATGTCAAAATCAAACAAAAGACATTTAGACGTACCATAATTTTTTTTTCTACTTTAAAATATGCTGTGCTTATTTAGTTGTTGATATTTTTAAATGGCTTTTTTATACTTATAGTCAGATCATTTTTCAACCTGGGCTATAGGTAATTTATTTTCAGAGAAGTTGGGTTGGTGGCTGATTGAAACTCCAGTAGATAGCTTATTCTCTATGAACTTACCGAAATATTCGGCTTTTTCGTCCTACCCTTGTTTGCTTAGTATGCTTGGCCAAATTTACGCTAACAACAAAAACACGTACTAACCATGCTAGCTGATATACGTATTTTTAAAATGAAAAGAAGAACCTTTCTTCCTCGTGGGACAGGTCTCGTTAGGACACTCGCTGGTAATTATTCTACGATTCTTCAGTTTTGCTTTTATTGTTATCAGTTAATTTGGTCAACCTAATGGTTTAATAATTTGAATAAATAATTTTTGCTCGTGATTATTTAACAGCGGTTGTTCTATTTTAAATTTGTATATTATATATCTTACTTAGATAAGGTCTTTTCAGGTCGTATAGAAATTAGAGTAAGCCTTTGGTCCCTTATTGAATGAACAAGGTAAACCAGCCATTTTTAAAGCAGTTCCAGCTTCTGTTATGCAATTTTGAACTAGCATAACGCTAAAGCAAAAGAAGGCCTCCACAAAATAGTCCTTTTGTTACAGCAGCAGATTGCCAAAAGGCCTCCTGTTAGCCCATATGAAGTTTATCAGATTTGCCTAATTGCTGCGAAATGTGACTTCAGGTTGATGAGGGGAACGTGATGTAACAAAGGCCTGGAAAAATGTAAATAACGTATGGTTTACAACGTGACGCGGGGTCGACCGGCCAAACGAGCGGCCATCTACTAAATGTTTCTGCCGTGTATGGTCGCTGGCTACGAGCTAAGAAAAAGCCGTTAACTCTTGGTGACCAGGCAAACTACCACACAAAGCGTCCCTCAAGAGTCTGCATACTGCTACTGCGATTGACGGTATATAGCTGAGATACTTTACGCATGCCGTAAATTTAAATAAACAATCGGACGGAGCTGTTTCTGTTCTTGCTGCTGGCATATAGCCACAGCGTTATTTATTCACAAGCAAATTCACTCGGGTGCAAAAAAAAGCCCAGATTCAAGCGAGCGACGTACCGCTTAGATATGCAAGGGGAAACATAGCATATATTCGCTTGCTTTTCTTTAAATAACCGCGCAAATTTATACAAGTCTGCGCAATCGGTTGATAGGTGCACAATTCAACACGAAACATTAATACTACCACTAAAGCTGAATCTCCAGTCCCTCTGTATAACCGTTATACTCTCTATCAACTAACAACTAGAATGGCAGAGTAAAGGTATCTTGTGTTCGTGTACCGTATACCAAGTCGGCGACTTTACTAAACGCCTGCTCTCTGATTCTACTCTTTATAAATAATTACCTGGGCTAATCTGAATTTTCGACATACACAAGGGCAAAAAATATGGAATTTTAGGGATTTTTACACCTATTTATTTTTGAGATAGCCGTGAAAACGGCCAGAAGTACGTTTAAAATTTTACATTGGGTAACGTTGCACCAGAAAGCCCATGTCTGATAAAAATAACTTATTCTGGACTATTTACGATATCGATGAAGAGAATTCATAGCGGCTGATAGAGGACGCATGTATCGTTATTGCCATCCAATACCATTTAGTGGAAATGAAGTACATGTCCGATCCAGGAAACGTGCCATTTGCCCTTGGCTTTTACTTGCTAGGACATGTCACTATTCAGACTGATGCTGCGTCGGCACTACAACCTTAGCTGGGCCTACTGACATTGATGATGATTATTGTGACCAATTTATATCTGTGGAACAAAGACTGAGGATTTGTTTTACGTACTTTTTAGTACAGTTATTGATGTGAGATAACCAATTAATTTTAAAGGTTTGATACAACAATTCTTAGGTGTGTATAGTATTTACTCACCATCGGTCCTGAGCTAAATGGATCGGTTTGTTCATGTTCTAGGTATTTCTCGAGATTAAAGAACGTATCGAAAAAGACACCGACCTGTAAGAAAATATGTTTGCTAAGTTACGCTTTCGGTCAATTCCGGCATTAAATGTAAATAACACACACACGGGGTTGCATGAATCCATTGATGACTAACCTAAAAATGTCTCCTATTATCCACGGTAGTCTCTTCGTCACTGAAACTAACTTCTCTATGCTTATGAAGTTTGTTTATTCGAAGTCGAAGGTGACTAATACCCTGATTAATTGCGTAATAAGATAAAGCTAGTCCCATATAAGTTCTTACCGCTTGCGATCGTTTTAGGTCTCCTAAAGTGAGGAAGTTATCCTGCGAGGGTTTAATCATATCAACCATTTGGCAAAGTGCATCCTCAAAAGGCATTGCCTGGAGGCCAAGACACTCCATTCGTTGGGTTTGTTCTTGATAGAAGAATTCAAGCTCATACAGCGATAGGCGTCCATCGCCGTCCAAGTCCATGCATCTGGAAAGTATCCATAATAGATTATTTCAGTTTGCTCTTATATCTTTGTTTGGGAAGTTGATGCTTCTGAAAGGAGTTCATAGTAGACCAGACAAGCCTTCATTGCGCTGACATTCCCGATCCGTAAACTAAAGATGTCTGTGCACATAAGGGAAACAGTCAGGCGTATCGGAAGTCGAAATCAATAAAGTTACTTATTAGTAGAAAATTGCTTTGAATCAGTCGTCGACCTACTAGTCAATCTATCCCAATCTGCAAGGACTCTATATGTTGACTCCATTTCTAACGGCATATTTAACAGCATAAGGCTTTTGGTAAAATATAAACACAATTGATAAGACATTCACACTTGCACTGGCCAAGGTTTACATCTGCGCAAAGCAACACGGTTTTGACATGTTATTTCTCATAGGTAGTTCTCATAGAAGCCTTTGATCTAAGTTGTTCTTAATACAATGTAAGTAAGCGCAGCAATAGTTATAATGAATTGAAACTGTAAGTTAATGCTATCATGATTTGGCCTCTTCAAAGAACGCTTAAAATGTCGATGCATGACCTCTAGTTTCCATCTAAACGCGGAAGTCTTTCAAACAAAGTAATCTAACAACGAAAACATTTTGCCTAATCAGTACCGTATGAACGGGCAACATTATTCGATAGGTATAGGGGAGCATATGGTTAAATGGGACAGGGGCTGCATGGGCTATATATATAGATTCTATACGTTTACTTAAAATTTGACTTGATTACCAATAAATTTTCAGACTTTTGAGATAATCTGAGACAGCTGAGCTTTGAATTTTCCTTGAATGATGAAAAATAAAAATAACCAGCTGTTTTTAGCACAGTTTCGAAGGCTGCATCTTCAACAACAAACTGAAAAAAAGGCTACGATCATTACATCGAATTGGATTACATAACTACCCTGGGGGTCTGTGGGCCGCTGCGTTTCGAGCATATGCAAAATCGGAGGACATCGATGCCAATTTTAAAGAAAAATTAAAGAATTTAGTGACTTCAAAGTACAGTTTAGGTTAGCAGGCACGCGTATATGTATACGCATGTCAAATTTAATATTCGTATAAGTAAATTTTTACTAAAATTTCGATTTTTATCACCCGAACGAATTGCTTCAGACAATAATTGCCGATACATTCGCGATATTCCGAATGCTGGTTTTGCATAACGCATTATTATAATACGATTTCTCCTCACTTTTCAAACACAATGGAACCCGTGGGTGTAACAGTAATTCGGTCATTCAAAACCCGACTCTATACCTCGCAGCATCATATTATATCGATCCGCGGTAACCGAATCATCCTCTGACCTGTCTACTTTGACTGTGCCTGATTGAAAACCATCGACCCCTCTACCCATAATCACATCCCCTTCTAGAAAAGGTATCCCTCTTCAGCTTTGTTGGACGGCTAAATTGTTGCAAGGGAATTAGCAGTCAACGACATTGGTACGTTCAACAGATATTTTCTCGAAAAGGAGTTAACAGTAGTAGGCCCGTTTGGGCCACATAATCGAATAGTCTTTAGCGTATATGCTGGTACAATATTTTTCTTTATCGTGTCCAACGAGGGCGCTAGATAAATATTGGCCCATATCGTCTCACCTCTTCAAGCTAGCATATGAACGTTATGTTGTTGCTAAATAATGCTACTTCAAGTAGGACAAAAAATATGAGTACAACAGAATTGAACTACTTCCTAAAACGAATATCTACATAAAATGTATATAATGAGCGCACCGTTCGGAAAGGATTATCGGCAACATCCTTCGGCCGTCTGACGATCGAACTTCCCACTATGTTGACTATGGTAGCCCATTCGGGTATGTTGTTTGAACGGACAGACTTCCGAAGGATGCCCTGACGGCGCCTCGATAAGCTTGGGTGAATGTTAATAGCGATTTTTACCCTCCAATTAACTGATAAGCCATGATGCCAACAGCTCTCTGTGCGTACTATTGGTAGTCCAAAGTGCGCGTTCTTCGTTCGCAACGACAGGAGAAGTGATCGCTGCGTCAGCTTTAGTTATAGCGGTAGAGAACCTTCAGTTTGAACTTATCGCAGAGAGGAGGACTCCGGAAGGAAATCGAAACTCGAGAGGTCTTTAGCGCGTTCGCTCTATCTGTCTCTCTCCTTTCACACAAGAGGTCTCATTGACAGAGTGTCTTCAGAACAGCATGTGTGCTCCCGGCATAGAGCCTGAGCAGCTCGCTGATGCCGTCCGTAGTTGAACAAATCCTGGGCAGCGAACGGCAAGCTTATTGGCCACCTACCAAGGAAGGCTGTTTGCGTACGCCCTGCGTAATCTCTCAGCCACGAGAAACGGTGAGACCGTCTCGCGTATCAATGGTTGTATATGCGCGTTCCGCAGGACATGGTTGTTGGCCAAGCAACAGATTCTCAATACGTTCCAACATAAATAAAACGACTTGAATTTAGAAACGATTATTTAGCTTACTAAATAACTAATTGAAATGAGATGTTCATGACACAAGTACGCGTCCACGTATCGAAATTTTACTATGAGCTTTGTCGAGATGGCCTAAATGAAAGTGAGATTATGGTGTCGGGGATATTTAGTCCATTCTGTATCTGTATAAAACACTCCGAGTATGCTAAATATGCGCCGAGTATTTATGTACCATATCGAGTGCAAAGTTTGTCTTGTTCGGGCGTGCATCACTCGGAGCAGACGCCACGTTCATAAGTTTCAGCTTGCTGGAAGAATACGCCATAGCAATCGTATAATGGCAATAACCGCCCAGGATACCAATTTCACGGATCCACCTTCTGTATTTATTAAACAGTCAAGTCTGATTCCATCGAAAGTAGCTATTGCATAATTGTGATTTATTTACATTTAGTTCATCTATAAACACATATCCTTGTTCGTAAGTAGTTGACGATTTGACCCAGTTGCGGTCTTCAAAGGGACTATAGCGGATCCATCACCGTATTATATACAATTTTGATCGATATCATCAAAGGACTCATCACACCTGAGATGCATGTTATAGTTACGAAATCGGAGTCTCTGATTACCTACCTGAACCAGTACTCAACGGCTCTTGGATGCTTTTTATTCTCTTCAGCAAGAAGGAAGTAGACGAAATCTTCATATGACATCCGACCCCTTGCCTCTGGGTTGAATATTACCACGCCGGACGTAAATATCCGTTCTATGATTCGCGTCGATAAAGCCGCATTGTTGTGTTTGGCCATGTCGTTCTTATCTATCCACAGATCATGATCATCATCCAATTCCCAGAATTTACAATAAATCACATAAAAGTGCTCGTACGAGAAGTAGTCCGTTATCTGAAAAGGTATATGTGTCACATTGGGCAAATAAATGCTATTTAATTTTGTATTATGCTAAACATTGTTTAAAAATTTGTGCTATATAGAAGGATGTTGTAAGCGAGTATACGAGTAGTTGTCATATCGTGAATAGTCCAGTGCGTTTTTGCCTCTGCAAGGCAGTACTCGCTGCCTTTATAATAATCTCTGTCATTTATAATAATCGTTCTCATAATCTCGCAACTACTGCGTCCTAAATTTCAAAGTTCTGTTGCAAAATATCAACAACCGCCATTGGAGATGGCCTTAATTATTCTTGTGACCTACCAGCCACATGTTCAGTGATCAGTATAATACCCAAAGAAAAAAACAATCGTTGAGACCCTCAAGAATATGCCCGGCGCGCATAGGCTGCGTTCGAAATAACAACCTATCGAGCGACGACAGCAGAAGGCTGGCGTCGTCGAGCTAGAAACGACATGCGCCTTCGGCTGTTCGAGCGATAGCAGCAGGAAGAAGACCAACGCGAAATGGCGCTACTGGTAGTACTAGCTGCTTAATAAAACTTTTTTTTTTCAGCTGTGTTACTTATATTTAGGATAAAGCTGATTAATTACGTTGATAGGATGTAAAATACTTATCGGCTAGCTCCCTAATGCAGTGAATCACGATACATCTCCTATGCGTGCTCGTATTCGACGACGGTTGGTTTAACATGTCTATTTGCTTCGCCGAAACGGATAGAGAGCCCCGTTGGGGTATTACGTCGCTCTGCCGGCTTACCGCTCTCCTTCGCAAGCTATTATTGTTCGATATCGTTAAGTCGACGTCGTTCGGGTGACGTAGAAGCATCAGATGTGCACGTACAATTTTACCATTGTCCATGTAGATATGGAAGCGCTAGTCTGTACCCCTCGCATTCTCTTACTATGCTAGTCTCTATCATGACTCTTCGTCTATTTATCTATAAAGGGGTAATTTTGACATTAACAACAGCCGGGTGTCCGGGTGACTACAAGCGTGTTTAATTAACTGCTTGACATTTAGGCCTAACTGATAAAAGTTGTGAAAGGAGCTTCTTACGACCCTCATCGTACCCGTGCGTATCTCTAGTCGTCGTTAGGTTCTTGACGGTAGCTTCTGCGTACGACTATAAAAGCACTCTGGAAATACGCGTTCACAATTCAGAGTAATCATGTACAAGTGTTCGTCGTTACAAAGACGCCCATTAATAGACATTAAAGTATGTGTATTGTAAGCAAACCTTGTTTATATCGTCTTCTAACTCCAGCAGGCGTATAGTCTGCATCAAATTGCTACGACGAACTTCGTCTGCGTATAGTTTACTTGACCACGTGGCATTGATGTCGTAGTAAATTCGAGCTATCACAGTTGTCACGTATCTGGAATGCCAACGCCACACAAAAACACAGGTGTATTTATTACCTATAGAGAATGGTGCCTGTTTCAAAGATAGCCTTCATGGACCTCCATACTCTCCTAAGAACTCTAAAGAATATTCGCCCACGTCCATTATAGATTTAATGCGCGCATTATATATGCGTTGTAGCTAAGATGGCTGTATCGCATCAAGGTTATCACGTAGCCGATGAAAGAAGGAAATTTCCGGCACACCAACAGCGTTTCAATTAACAATTTGTAGTACCTCTTTCATCTACCTTTTTTCTAGTTAAGCAAATATGCATATGAAAATACGCGACGGGCACACGTAGGGCGAACCAACCAATCAGGGGGCAAGCGTGGTTGAGAGAAAACGATAGTTTGTGGAGTTGGACAACATCTGTCGTGTTTGGGTCAGTATCATCGGGAGATCGGCCCTCAGGGCATCAGGTTCCAAGAGCTCAAGGACGAAGAAACCGGTCTCGTTAGTGAATTACCCATGAGCGACGAGCTACGCGTTCCCGATGCGATCGGAAACACGAGGAATTCCTCTACTGTTGCCGCGACAGAGTAGGTAGTAGATTGGCCATTTCCTTGTCAGGAGGGGGAGAAAAGCGGAAACAGGTCATAAGGTGATTCTTCACCCCCTGGGAAGGCTTTTCCCGAGTAAGTTCTGGCTGGACACGAAAAGAAGCTTAGACTATAACGCACCCGCGATGAATGCGCACTCACACATATACAATGCATCGTGTGAATTTCCCGCGCTAAGTCATAAAACAGTTTCCGGCCGATTCTTCTAGGAACGAAGATCAGCCTAAGGGGTGAAGGGTGGGGGGCGGAGGGTACAGAAGGAACGTGGGACACTGTACATGACCAAAAATCGACAGCACAACTATTGAAGCATACGTTGTTTCCCGCTGGGTAATCTTGCTCAATCTGTAGTTGGCTGTGTCTAGTATTTTTAATTTAAGCCTTCTGTCACCTTCCCTCGAGTAAAAAACTATCTGCAAGTTTAGCCAGATTGTTTATTCACGTAGAATATAATCCTCAGCGCAAGTCAGATCTGCTGTCCGTAAATAAGCCTTTATTTAACACCAACAATAATTAAATAGTTTATAGGCAGGTCTTTCGTACACGTACCTATTTATTCATGGATATAATTAGGTGAGAACGTACATAAAATACAAACCTGGAGTGGAATTCGGGAGCCTCGCGCAGGAAGTGCAGTCCAGGATGGTTTGCGATTACGTCTAATACCTGTCACAATAAACAAACTAGCAAGTTCGATGTCAAAGCAAACGAATCATCGTTCAAACAAAGTGGAGGGCAGCAAATTAGTAGAGCGAGAAAGCTGCCTACGTTCGAGGAGATGCGGCCAGATGTGAAAGGACTCGTGGCATCTTTTCTTACAGAGCATCAGCAGCGATCGCTTCTGTTCTTGGCCAGTCACCATAGAATCCTACCAGCTCAAGATGTGGTAATTTTAGAGGGAGCCTGACGGGCTATATTTGGTACACGTGGGATGGTCTACCAACAACGCTGTCAGGCAACAACGTTGTGAGCAACATAGCAAAACAAAATGTAGAGATAGAATAAAATGGCACAGAGAGATCTGGGCAAAGTTCAGAAGCCAGAGAGTGGGTAAGACATGAAAATAGGGGAAGAATTTCGATCGGTTTCTACCAATCACGATCGGACCTTTGTAGTCGCGTGTCTCTTTCTCCTTACATAATGTTGGCAAAAGTTAACGGAGCAGTCATACTCGCTGCAGAGTAGTCGGTGCCTTTAGCTATGCTGGTATGGACAAAATAAAGAAAACAACGCTAGATGTACAGTGCTGTTGTTATAACACGTAGGGAAACAAAGGGCCGAAAGCAAACCAAAACTCCAATGGCGCGTTCAGAGTTAGGTTAGTCAACTGGCCTTAGTAAAACTCTGTAGGAGCATCCTGGCAGGCGAGGTCGAATAGTCTACCTTACGTGAGAGCAGTTAAATAGATCGTCGTTGTAACCCTGCTAAGTTTTATCACAGATAATTATACTGACTCTAAAGGCGTCCTAATGGGATACAGGACATAAGGTTATGAAGTATTTTATCTTCGAAGTTACAATGAGAACAAGGATGTCTAATTAACAAAAAAACGTGGATGAATTGTTATTATACGAAGCACTAGTGTTCATGGCTTTATTTTGACTGAGCCGGCGTATATTTATATACTAGTTCTCGTTATGTGCTAAATTCTATTACTGCGGATGTATCGAAAACGAATAATTCTGATATAATAACAAAAAAGCGTTCACTCTTCTTCAGAACAGTTGAAGACAACGTTAGTATTGAAATAATTCCCGGGATAATTTACAGCCCTATTAAGACAGCTTCATTTCAAAATCTTTTTTTTTTGGCTTTCATGGTCATGAACGTACATGCACCATCCTATATTTGGCTTTGCTTATAAATATATTCTTCTAAAAATGACTTGTGACGACACACTTAAAATTTGAATTATAACTAGATGTATACGTGAGCTTAGAAGCGCTTACAATTGGCTTGAAATCATCCGGCATCAGGTAGTTACGTTGACCGTTAGAAAGAATCTTGATGAACCACGATACTTCATCACGCCCGTTCAACATTATCCTGAAACAAAGCATCATCAAAAGCATAAACAAAAACAAAACCGTACGTAGGTAAAATAGCTCGCCAGGAAATTGTATTATGGAATTTTCCTTACATATATTCATACTTCTCTTATTAAACAATTGCTCAACTTCTATAGTTACTGTCATCTGTGCGTGTGATGAGGGCTTGATGAATATTAAATGTTTTTTTTTTGTCTATATATGCGTGTATTTATATTTACGCTGCGCATTTTTCTTGAAATGCTTCCAAAATGGTCGCCTAGTTTTTGAGATGACATGACGTCCTAATCAGTGTTGATAGTTAACGTAGCATGCCCAAACATTATAACTAACAACCAACAAATAGGAACTGAAACAGTGCCATCTCTGTATCACTCAACAGCCGTGAGTCACTGTTGGGTGTCACAAAACAGACCACGTGGGCTAAATAATTGTGCAGTTATTTATCGCTGAATAACTTACGATTTCCAATAATTGAGGAAGGTTTGTTGATGAAGGCCCCGATCAGTAATGGTGCCACCAGCTGCAATAAATAATGCCGTCTTCCAGTAAAACGGAAGATCGCACGCTTTGACAACAACTGAAAATTTGGCCACTGTACAATAGGCATCGCCAACAAGCTGGTACGCTTGCACGATTTTCTTCATCTGAAGATCAATCTCCCGTGGGTCACAAGGTTTACCTTCGGGGTGATAGAAGACCGGAATTTGCCGTGTTATACATTTCGACTGGATTGCCCGACGAAGAGTCTCACAATGATCTCTTCCAGGGACAGGTGGTGATACATGAGATGCGTCTTGCGGCACCTAGAAAAAGAAAAAAACGTACCGACGATAGCTAAATTACCTTTCTCTATAAAGCTCCTTAGAATCTGATCCAACCTTAGTTCACGAGTACGAAGAAGTAAGCTTACATCTAACATGTAGGGCATCAAAGCAGAGCCTGATCACCTTTGTGTAGTAAAACTTGTAGCTTACTAAATTAAGTGGGCCATTTTTTTAAATTGAGCCTTTCACTATTTCTGTTCACGGCTAATTTTAAGGAAGTCCAATAAATATGTCTTTATTCTATGAATTTGATAGATTTGGCAAAGCTCTTCGATATATTGCTATGCAACGAGTCGAGAGCAACGGTCTACTGTACAACGTTTTCAACGTGAGGTACCATCACTACTTTGACGATAGTTTACCACCACGCAGTATTTTTATCTAGCGCTTTTGCTACGGTCCACAGCAATGATGATAATAATAATAGACACAAGCTGTATAAATAAATAAATTTATTTTTCACAATAATAACGAGGGATTGACTGGAATAGGCATGGACAATAGGTATAGATCTTCACAACACAAATTCACCGAACACTCTTAGCCTAGTTGTTATATATTATATAATGCATATGCCATAAAGCCACTTTTTGTTCGTCTTTTTAGTTGTAAGAGGACGACGAACAGCAACAAAAGTAACGGCGTCCCTTAAGGGGGACCCTGTCGAGGATCTGAGCAGGTTATGCGACGATCAGAACGGTGACGTCCCTCGTGCAGATTGTTCTGTAGAGTTCTACCTCTAACATTGCTTTTCTAACGTCGTGATCATTGAGCGATGGAAGGACACAAAGTTTCTTATATTTTCCATTTTTTGCCTTGATATTAAGAGAGAGGAGCAAACCAGGACGCAATCGTCTCCTGAGGTAGGGTGTAGCAATACCCACTATGCCTTCTCACGAATCTGGCGTCGGGGATCAGCTAGTTAAGGTTACAGTGGCGCCAGCAGCAGCAGTAGCTACCCAGAAACACAAGACGGCACACACAAAAATCTAAAGAACATGCCCAAGCGAGGCCAACAGAATCCGCCAGCAAAAGCTGCTCGAGAGCAAGCAGACGAATTGTTGATCGCCTGCCCCAGCATAGCGTTTCAGCGCCCTAAGCTATAGTGTCTAATAGTTTTGCGGTTCATATCGGACCAAACTGCTCTTTCTAATCAACCTACGTGATTCTTGTGCCTGTGATATGTAAAGGTGGATAAAGGTAGTCTGATTCCATTTAACGCTAGATGGGGTAATCTCCCGATGACTGTTGTTAACTAACACGGACACTGTACATTGAATAAAAAAGAAATGAACGCAAAAACTGCAGTACCGTGTAAACGTTCGTTGGAAGAAGGGGTACATGTATTCTTAATCATACGAATGTGTTAGATTTATTGAAGAAGGGTGCTCAGTTTCGCTGGAATGAAAAATTATTCATACAGTCAACGTCTAATTATGTACAAGACAAATGAATATATTAAGAAAATGTTTACGACCTTTTAATGAACCAGTATGCACAAGCTGACCGCGTACTATGTTCCGAATGCAGTCAGTAATATGACGTAAGGTCTCGATGCTCAGGGTACTGTTACCTTATCAGTTGGGAAACAAAGGCCCGAAACGCTCTAGAGACAACGAACATGGATCAACTTAACGTCTACCGAATCAGGTAGACATCTAGTATCTAAATTGCCATCTTACGCCCTGTCAAATGACGAGAAGGTATTCGTCTATCTTTTAGTAATACTTTAGCACTAATGGCTGCAGCAGTGTCCGCCGCGGAATTCTCATTATTTCTGCCTCCTCTATTTCTTTCGCAGAAATGTGTTAATAGTAGCAGATGTACATAGGGGTAAAACCCCGTTTTCGCACATCTACAAGGTTCATCTGTTCCCTTGTTTTTATCACTCCATCCCTCCAACGTACTCGAGCGAAATAACGTGAGTTTACGACGCTACCCATTACCGCGTCCACAGCGGTTGCAACTGTACCGGGAGGCAAGAAGCGGCTGTTTATCCTTCCTCTTTTCTCTCCTCTTCTCTTCTTTACTCTCTGTTCAACTCTGCTAGAGCGAAGCTAATCAACATCTCGACATTTCACATTCGGCAGCAGTGGTATAGGGCATTCTGCGGAGTTCCTTAAGTAACCCCCAGTCCAGGGCTTCCTAAGTCCCAAGGTTGGCAGCATCGCGTTCCCGTTGAGGGCCATCTAATCCAGCTGGCCACAGGCCGGCGCACAGAACCGGCACGCCACCCGTCTGGCTCTTTTCTTCTCTGCTCTTTTGGGTGCTCCAACCAGACTGAAATTCCAATAGCTTTTCCAACCGGGCGGTGGTTGAGTGGGGCGAAAGTTGAGGTTCCAGCAGCATCGTAGTGTGGTTCAACCGCGATCCAAAGAATCGAAAGGAGAACTGCCGATATTTCTTTTTGACGAGCCATTTTCCTGAGTTGCGGCGATGATGGCGTTGTGGCAATTATCCCAAAACGTAAGGGCAGCAGCGGCACCACTTGGGCTACCCACAACACTAACAACGGTGGGAAAAAAATTAATGGCGGAAGTATTTGCGTGGCTCAATAGCTCCTCCTAAATATCCGTTCCCAGTCAGCGGCTCATCCTTTGATAGGGGAAAAAGGAGCAGATCCTTTTAGAGTTCTTCTCCTTGTCTTGCCGTATTTGGACCTTTGTTGCTTGTCCCTACTCTTCTCGTCATGCTTCCTGCTTACCCCTGCTTTCGCAGGAAGAGCAATGCTTCTTGACGTAACGGATCGAAGAGCAGCACACACGGCTGTTATGATTTTGAGCAATGAAAAGCAAGCAACGCTTGAGAAGCGCACCATCGGAGACTGAGACATAAAAAGTGTGGTCATTCAGGGAGAAAATGAACGAGCGTCAATGGGATTCCCGCTTTTGATTCGTGCGCTTACACGATCAGAAGTAACAGTCCATTTTGAATTTGACCGCATTTGGACAGAAATATTGATTTTGGAGTGGTTTTTGTTCCGAGACTAGGAAATTGTATGTTGTAGTAAGAACGTCTAAAGAGGACATCTCTAACTCGAAATATAGGGGAGATTCTTTGTATTTTCTAGATGTTCGAACATACCACTTTTCTGGCTTTCTAGTTCAACCCGGCTATTTTGACTACCGTGGATACTGCCCCAAGTCGATTTCACTAGTACTAGCGTTATTGCCATACGGGGGCTGAACAGCATATTGCGTACCAATATTTCCTTGGGAGGTGACTTCTGCGATCGAGCTTCCTCAAGTTGTTCCGGCATCTTCTCAAACAGTAAAATTCTGTCAGCGACAGAACCTTTGAGCATCTCCTTCGAACGACGCTGTTCCCGCAGCGTACCTAAAACACATGGAGCCGCATGGTACCAATAGTGCCGGTCAATTAATCAAGACCGATAATATAGATGTACACATACGCAGATGCACATCAGATGATAACACTTTGGGTGTATTTACATAAATTACAGAATATAGAAAATAGATTTATATTTGAATGACCCATGTTGAGTTTACAGTGCTAAACTGTTTCACTAGTAACAATATTTGTCAACCTATAGTAGTTTTTCATTTAGCTAGGCTCAGTAATAATTTATAGGCTTCTTTTTATGCCTACCAAATTCATACGTTTGAATACAGATGGAATCGAATCATTCCTGTGCTGCATTATCGTAGGACTCTGACGGCAGAAATAGGCCGATCAGTTAGAGCTTTGTCGATTGTCTCAACATCAGCACTAAACGTGAAATCTATTCAAAAGATGACTAACTAAATTTAAGAATTCACAGGTAAGACAGGTCTTTGCGCCTATAGGCTACTATAATTAGGTTTGATGTCCGATCAAAATAGAATCAAGTATGCAAAAGAAAATGATGAGGGTAGCAACTTTTAATTATAACCCTACTTTTTGCTAATTCTGAACCTATATTTTCCTAACTGCCAACTCAAGTAATTATCCTATTTCAAGGTGAAAGTTGTTCCACCTTCTCTATATATATTCTATATGTTCAACCATTATGACTCCTTCATATAGCACTCACCTTCTTTCTTGCGTTGATGGCTTTCTTCCACCTCTCTGCATTTCTGTTCGAAGATGTGCTTTCTGTCCTTAACGCTGACCCTAGCCGGATGGGCAGGGCCTTCCTGTGCGGCAGCCTGCGCCATCGCAAGTATCGCCAACGGTTTACGGGGGGGAGGTACACTGGAGCACACAAAGTGTTTTTAGGGATTTCATTAATAATCCTATGAAAAGACCTTAATTGTCGGATGAAATAAAATAGCTGTACGATTAAAAGCGAAAAAAAAAATAAAGCGATTAAAAAAAAATTTAGTACCTTGCTATTTTGAAAACCCAAGTGGAAATAATAAACCAGTTAACAACATGGGCCTCTATAAGACTAAGTCTGCAGGTGCACATATGTTAGTCTCAAATTTAACCTAAACAGTTTTTCGAAATGTATCTAGCTGAACTAGTTTTTCTTGTTCTGTAGGGCAACAACAAACTAAACGGTAGTATACATATTGATTACAAAAGGCCTCAGTCTGACATCACATGGATGGAGAAGTTCCTCCAATAAATGCCCTTTTTTTGTTCGTCTACAAGGTTTAGTTCTTCTAGACCTTAGAAAAATTATCGTGTACGAAACACGATTTAACTAAGCATCTACTCCAATATACTATCTCTCAGAATACGGCACAATTGTGTTGTTGTATGAACTAAGGTCTCAGCCTCTCCCATTTCCACTTTCAACGCTTTCTCGAGGCAAAATTCTGCGTGGGTTGAGCCTTACCCATGGCCTTGTTGCGTGTGGTTTACCAATCAGTCAGAGTGACTTTGACTTTCAGCATACACACATATTGATTTTTTCAGTCGAACATTTTCTCCTATTCTCACGAATTTCCATACGATTTTCCATGCGGCGCCGTAAGCGTTGACTCTATTGCCCAGGACGACGCTATTCACTCAACAAAACTTCACTGTGGTTTTTCCTGACAATTACTGCCGCTATTACTAGAGCCATTATTATGGACAGGCGTGTATGTGAACATAATAAACATGAACTAAGACGACGAAAACGTATCGCGAAAGTGGGGGCTTCGATCAAAAGAGTTTTTGCTCGACGTAAATTTTCACCTATATTTAGCATCTGCTTCTCCCATTGCTTGCTTCTTTTGTTACCTGATTGCGCGCCCCTCTTCTCTCAGTAGTAGTTCTTTAATCGACATTTCCGTCCGTCACTCGGGTCTTGTGTTGCCTCCGAGCTTCGCAGAACGCAATTCTTCATGAGAAACTGACAGGACCGTCGTCGCTGGAGTGATCTCCTCCACCGAGACGTCATAAGCCCGATCATCTCAAGGATAAAATGTTTGCTTCCGTCTGATTTGCACTTTATTCCAGCAAAGTAAGATCGTAGTGATGTTAACAATACCGCCAGCAGCATTGTACCATCTCGACCAAGACCTTGGTGTTCCCCAATTTCAAATGTATCTCTTCTTTTTTTTTTTTTAATCTGTTCCGTGTTGACGACGACTGTTGTCGCCTTGACATCAAGTCACTACGTAACTATGTACGTATGTATGTATATGTAACTAAGTATGTTTTCCAGGAGAATCTACGTAGATATGGAGATCGTGCGGGAGGCTATCTGAGAACTGCTGTCGGTGATGCTAGCGATAGTGCAACAAGCTATGACACCGGTAGGGAATTTTAAGCAGATGGAATTTTAAGAGAACCTGAATTAGACAGCCACTTTAAGTTTATACGAAACTTTTCAGCTTATCTCGAGCTATTGTAATTCTACACAACTTCATTCGAGTGGGAAGATCTCTTGGCTTCACACATTTCTGCTGATGAATCATAAGATTCATCAGCAGAAATGAAAAAAGTCAGAAAAAAAAAAGCATTATATCTTATTTAGTTTTTGTTTGAGGTATTATTCGTAGCGAAACGAGCTAGGTTTTCATAGCGTTGTGGGAATAAGGTTTTTTTTGTACAAAAAAAAGCTAAAAGTTGCAAAAACGTGTGGGCCGTTAATTTACACTGTGATTAATCGGAAAGGAACCCCTACGCGATAAATTACTCTAACAAATATCCAGCAGTTTCCTAGCGCAGCTGATGAAGAGCCCGCTTTTTATTTGTATTACTCGTCTGTGCATTTGTGTTGTACGTTATGATATCTGATGAGATAGATAGGCATTTGCGCGTTGTAATGCAAACTTTTCTTCGACGGATGAACACACACACACCCCCGACGCGTTATACCCCTGACCATTTTGAATAATCGCATCCGTTTTGGGCTTCATCCTATTGGCGTTGTAGAAGTATTTACAGTTATATCTACACAATGGACGTTTCTGTTTATTATTACATCTTTTCTATTCAAGCCTAGTCGCGCCCCCTATTTACCACATCTTCTCATCGCGCCGTACCTTATGCCCCATGATGCAATCGCAGCCAGGGTCGGAACTCCGGTGCCAAATAAAATAGTTTGAACGGCTTTGTATTGCCTAGTTATTCCTCCGGGCACGGCAATGACGTTCTCCACTCGAGTCCGCATCAGCGGCACTTACGACTAATGCACGCTCCCCTCAGGCAAAAATGAACGCAACATACGAATACGCGGAAACTCTAACTAAAGTTAACCGGCGTAACGAAGTTAAATCCTTACCACCTCTCTTTTCCTACCTTTTCTAGTGGTAGGTCTCTTTTTCTTCTCAAAACAACTTAGCAGAACTTCGAAGAAGTAAAAGTTAAGATGAATAGTTCGCAGTTATCGAGTTGTATCACTTGCACACGTGGTTCCGTACTTCATGGCACTCCTACCACCATTATCTCAAATCTTCCTGTTTAATAGACCATAATTTTTTCTAGTTATTATGATTATTCAGGGATTGTACAAGGACCACGGGTAAGCGAAGTTGGCTGTTGCCAAACGGAATTTAGGATACATCACGTCGTTTTCTCTAACACTTATATTCGCTGGCCTTGTTTTCGCATAGCGTATTTATTTTTAGTTGAATTTAACGAAAAAAAAAATTGAAGCCTTACTTCAAAGTCAAGTTATGCTGATTTCGATCGAAATGCAAATGTTTTAGTTAAGTTATTCTGATTTTGCCCAAGTAGTGAAAAGTAAATGTATTATGTACAAAACACTGCCAGTAAAAACGTAAGGCATTTTTGTGGGTCAGAGCGACGTTTATTTATTATAAATAACATTGTACGTTAAGAAAAAGGACATATTTGAATCATGTGTGCAGGTCTCACTGTACGACTTTATTGGACTATGAAAGGGACTGCTTACATTGAAGGATTAATATTACGAATGGTAGAAATTTCAGATAATTTCACTTGTCTGTTATTAGATAATGTTATATCGGGGTTCGATTTTACACGAATCAAATCTGAACGTTTTTAATTCCGAATTTCATAACTCGTCTAATCCGCACCGACATTAACAGCCCTATAAACCTAGATATTAAAACAGCCTATATATAAAACAGATATAAAAAAAAAAAAATAAAAAATAAACGCTACAGAAACAGCTACGTTAAACGCTTGCGTATGTCGAAACCGATAACCTGGTAACTGTAAATTAACAAGTTATCGGTAACAAGGTAATGAATCTTAGGTGTTTTTCAATTCTTGGATTCAGGTAAAACTCAAGTGAAAAAAAACTGTGTGGACGCCGGAGAACTTCGAAGAAGAGAATACAAATAACAAGAAACAATTATGAACCGACAAATGCATAATTCTCGTAGGTTTTAAGTTCTAGATAAATTGTATACAATACTCTTCTTTTAGTCACTATAACTTTCACCATGTATAAAGCTAAATAAAATTCGTTACGTTTGACTAATGTCAAAATTGTGTAAAGCGTTCTGCCTCTCTCCCACGCGCATCTATATATATATACATACACACACACACACATATATATATATATATATATACATACACACACACACATATATATATATATATATATATACATATATATATATACACACATATATATACACACACATATATATATGTATAGGCAAGGATCTGTCGTTTAATAATATTGAGAACAAAACATTCTATTGCGATCATCGGCTTACGGCGTTCAATACAATTATATGCTATCATTTTAAATCTGGTAAAACTGTGAACGTCTGACGCATGTAAAAAAAGAATGGAAAAATAAATAGTATGAAATATTTTGTCAGCCAACATGAGTTTATAAAGTATGATGAAGTAAGAATACACGTTAGGGAATACTTGAACACTTGTGTGGTAGTATTCCTCGAAGAAGTGAAGTCATGTTATGATGAAGTTCGGTGGGCTTAAAGTCAAAAACCATGCACCACTAAATTATCATTAATCGCTAAGGTTGTCATCTATTGATCTGAAGGCAGTATCTACGATTTAAGATCTACGTAAGTTGTAAATAAAGAGATTGAGAATTGAGTGATTATACACTCTTATAGCGAAAGGCACAACAATATAAAAAAATACCTCTAAGTGAAGTGAACTAACTATAACGAAAAGTCGACATATGTATATATATATATATATATATGAAATAGGCGTTATATATATACGAAATGAAACGAGAATCAAGGATACTTACTACGAACTCTGCCCACAGCTTGACTGAAAATGCAGATTGATCTGTTTGGGTGCCCGCAATTGGTAAACCTTCTTCTGATCGGAGCCGGTTTTGATGAGTGGCTGCGCATTGCTGGCCACGCCTGTGGGTGGTCCATCAGAACTGGTTGGAGGAATACCGGACCCACTTACGTGAGCTCCTGATAATGGCCTGTTGGTCGGACAGCCCAGAGGTACTCGCTTCTTATCGTCTCCTCGCAAGATCTGAATCAGTAGTAACGCGTCTACTAGTTAACTGACTGGCAAGGTCGTAAGCACGAAATACGACGATTGTATTTGATTATTCAACCATTATGTTTCAATTATGTTTTATGACATTTAAGCGGCAACCGTAGCAACGATGATCTTGATGTGTAACTATATACTCTTTTTGTTCTTCCTTGTCTCTTTTAAGATATCCAGTAGTTGAGAGAGGAACAGCCGGCCATATTTAGCTTACGCTGTATACGCTACGATATGAATTTGAACGCTGACATAACACTTTTGAATGTCTCCCAAAGCCTTTTCTAAGGTAGCTAGTTTTTCGTTGACAGTAGACATTATTCCATGTTGTTCAAACGGCTACATGCGCTTACACTACATTCTTGAACAATACGACTTAAAGTTTGTTATTGCATATGATCATTAGCATGTGAGACTGTACTATGTGTTTAGACTTTCATAATAACACAGAGCCAACCCAGGATCGAAAAACCAATGCCCCCCCCACCCCACCCCGAAAATCTAGTTCGTTGGTGCTACACTGGTGTTAGTTCCTGACGGCGCTAAAAAGACAACGCTAAAAGTGCCAGCTAAATTGTGGCAATTTTACGATTGTGCAGATCGCTTCCTGGTCGCACGTTGAACGGAGTGGCCGTGTAATATCTGACCGATCATTGGCATCGACTACGTGTCTTGTACATTTGCATGCCTATGTACGTAGAAGGTCGAATATCATCGAGCACACCCAATCGGCCGTCCCACTGATTGACAGTACGCAGAACGCGGCCGGCGGCCCGCATGATAGATTGACCATGGACTTTAGTTAGTCATACCTATAGACGAAACGGCTCGGCTACAGGAGTCATCATCGCCGCCGCTGCTGAGTGCGCAGCAGCCTTCGGATAAAGAGGAAGACCTTTCTACCGCCCACCAGCGAAGTTCGCTGACGTGGGCCGACTAAACACCCAGCTCTCATACCGACATACACAATACAAAAGAAAGCTCTCCCCCACTATTAGAGCTACATATCTTTTGTGTAGGCACACGTGTATCTATGCCAATGTGTTTGTGTACCCGTTAATGCACTCAGAGACAAAGTTCTACAGGGACCTTCTGTCTCATATACATACAACGTGGCCCACTCGTTCGCAAAGACGGTGCGGGCTCTCGACTGCTCTCTACAATATTTTATGGCTTAAACGCCATTGTCGGCGCGTGAAAAAGAAGCTAACTATTATATATTCATAGTACATTAAACATAAAGCGTGTTACGCAGGCATGTGCGCATGTTGACATACTGGACACGCTAAACACGTTTGGGCAATATACCGCTCAGGAAGCACGTACATACTGCAGGAAACGAGAAACTTAACACGCAGTCAAGGAAGCAACTAGCTGCCATCCAGCTCACATACGCTGTGCATATAATTCTATATAATTGGTCACGAAGCAGCAAGCCATCGAGTTGTGGTTATGTTACTAGCGAAGACGACGACCGCGATTCTCTTTCTCATAAAAAAAAGCCCTTAACAGCAGTTACCGCCACCGGTAATGACGTTATTGCTGCTATCATTGAAACCATTCTTCGTACGGCCGCAGTAGCAGCAGAAACAGCGAAGATGTTTAACGATGTCTCTACTGCCCTTTACTAAATAGACAGGTTTACTGTATGCTATACCCTTTCCTGACAGACTCGCCATACAACCTCAGGCTTTTTTGCCATCTATCTACCGCAGAATTCTTTCACTAACCCACCAATCGCCCATAGTTAGATGACCGTTACGCAACTACAATACTAACTCTTCAGCTACTTTTGCTCGGAAGTACTTACCTTATCTTGAGCAACGAATGTATGTACGAGACGTTCCAGGCAGGCATCGTCCTCGAGCAGTGCGGCAGGGTCGAGCATCCTCTGCAGCGATTTTTCAAGGTCGGCGCCTCCGACGCCAGGTGCTCCAACTGCTACTACACGACCTCCCGACCCCCCTGGCCCTGCGTCGGCCATGGCACACGCTGAGCCTTTGTGCACGACGCCACACTGCATCAAGCCGCAGCATCCGCCGCCTGGACAAAAATGTGAAACACGAATTGATTAATTTTCTTAGGTAACATTTCTGTTAGACATAGTGTAACAAACTGCGAGAGCGAGCAACTTTCGCTCGTTTATCTGCACATATATACTACCCCATCGGGAATGCCCAATGGTTAGCTTTTCAATCTCAAATTGGTGATGACATATAAAGTCAGTCACCAACCACGACCCAGGGCCTTCACCCGGGTTGGCATGCAAACGCGAACAATGAGTGGTTCAAAAGTTGATTAGGAGTCACGACAAAAAAAAAAAAAAAAAAACGATGAAGTAAAGGAAAAGGCTTCGAAGCTTGGTGACTCGACCTTCATCACGGACCTTACCTCGCTAAAGTGCGCAAAATTTATGGTTGATTAGGATAACTTTTTAGCTCTGAATAATCAGTGATACTTTTTAGTCTTATGAAAGCTCATTTGTCAGTTTAACATAACGATTAAAGTTAGTTACCTGCAAGGTTGACGCAATACTTCGTACAGTAAACTCAAGTCTTTCGTTAAGCGTGTGCGTTTAGTGGTTATTCTACGAAGGCCGAAACAGAGCCGCTGGCAACAAAATATGGAGATGAAATTTCGAGAACGTTTGGAAGGCTTTCTGCTTCCGACGTACGCCAACGCGAAAGGCACCTATCCAACCCCGTTTGAAACGTTCAGGGTAAACAATTTGGAAGATGAACGATTCAGCAATCGATAGGCATTGAATTTTTTAAAGAGCGTCACTCACATAATTAACATTGGCAAATTTCTGTTGTATGCTTTTATTCAGTGCGTGACCTCATGAGATCATCAAATGCGTAAACGGCCTTTATGAACCATGTGGTCCAACACGTCTCTGTCCGTGTGATGGCGAAAACAGCAGGGGCGGGTATTTAGATCCAAAATGTCTCCGGTCCTAATCGGGTCGGGCACACGCAAAGTGACGCGGTCCCGTGCTTGCGAATCTATTGTATATTACTTTTATACTTTAAGCCTGTCTTCGAATCGGTTTGCGTGTGAAATATCACGGTCTTTCACAAAATCGTGCTGCCATTAGAACGCATGTCTCGGAAAACACATTACGGAGAAGCTAGGATTGGTGTAACAAACTAACGAGGCCGCACGCCTCGTTACTATGGGTAACAGCAATTTAAATGCATGTTTAGCTCCTATAAATATTCAAAGGCTCTGTTTTTAAGAACAACTCATTTAAAACGCATTAAACACTATATTTAGGACCAGCGTTAGCCTAGTGGGCCCATTTATTTAAAAGGTAAGAAATATATTTAGGTGGAATTATTAGCACAAGTCTCAAAGCGCAGAGCCATTGTACACTTCTCTTTATACGAAACAAGCACGAAACTAGGGCGTAGCTTTGAAAGTCCAATTCAACCCAGTTCAACACTTACAGCAGATCAGCATACGCTTATTGATAGCTAAGCACGAGCATTTAGACCTTGGATGGGTGACGTGAAATTGTACGAAGACACACTGGAATAACGTCTACGTTCGTATCTCGTAGGCACTCACAAATCATTTTTCGACAATATACCTTATTAAAACCTGCTTTTACGTCTCTTACGCGTCAAGTAGTCGAAATTAGATGGGTCAATTCGAGTGAGACATTTCGAAAAAGCGTGCTTACTCGTTAAGAGATAGATGACCATTCAAGCGCGACGACGCGAGCCGGCGTCGTACGGCCTGTGCAATGTATCTCACAATTGTGTTTCTATTATTATGAATTTGTCAATAGAGTATAAGGACAAGACAAAAAGGCCCCGCTATGAGAGATGAAAATGTAAAATCAAGCCGACGTCGGTCTCCTGCGGTTGTTTCCCTAAACTGTTGGAGTCAATTAACGATCTATCGCATTCGTTTCGAATTCTGTCTCGACTGCGTTTTTACGTTTCTGCTCGTTTGTGTATAATGTTGAACTTACATAGTGCATAAAGGTCTCGTCATGAATTTCACGCTTCCGTTCAGAGCCAGGTGAGCCCTATAGAAGCCGGTTAGTGATGACGGGCTAGCTACATGGTCCTCGACAAACCGATACGCCGAAAAAAATGCTAGAAAAATGAACTTATTGCAGGTCCACACAGTCTACACAATAGTGAGCATAGCATCGCCCCGGGTGTTCAGGACTATAGCATGTAGTCGAAACAAAACAAATAAATCAATCTACCGATGCTCGAAAGGTATCCACAGAACAGGACTAAATCCACAAGAAAGGTCCGTTTTTATTTGAATAGACTACCAGACAATCGCTGCGCTTATTGCCGTCCGCGTAAGTGTAGCTATATACCGGAAACGTAAGTTTTCATTCTTCGCTTTGTTAAACCTGTCGAGGGCAAACAGACGATACGTTAACGCTAGATCTATCTATCCAGTTTATTTGCAACGCTCCAAATGACAGATTTTTTCTAACACGAATAGTGCAAACAATACACGTTTATTTATAGTGCAATGCTCCATTGACATTGTTGGCTGTGGGCGAAACGACTTGAAAACCTAATATCCTTTCTATATCCTGTTCATTGAAAGGAAATAGTAAGGTTTTCCTGTAGTAGGCATATGCAGATAGGCATACTTGTATAAAATGCTGATTAAGGCGAACGGGCCTGGAAGAAGTGTTACCGTGTTGATCGCTAACGTACGTACTTAGCATTAATGACACACTCGGATGATTGTAAACCAAATATTTTTACGTTGTGATGGTTGTTTTTTCCGAACGAATCCATAGAGAGTTATGAGCGAATATTATGTATTACGATTTTTCATTGTAAAAACAGTTCGCCGAAACGTTGTACTGGGAATGGTTCCTTCCATACGTCATTACACTTATAGTGCGTATAGCATATAGCATATAATTACGATGACTTTTAGGAAAATATCCTAGGTGCAGTATCCTTACTCGTTTTACACGATGCCGATCTGGTCTGTCCTTTTGGCGTTTGTGCACCTCCATTGATTTGTCGCATGACATTTACGGACAGACAAAAAAAGGACACTGAAGCACGTTTCGGTGGCGGGCTTTGGCCTTTTGCAAATAATGAAGCTCTATTTCAGCATCGCCCCCCGCATCTAATTCCAAATTTCGTTGAGAGATGCTAAGTAAAAAACGAAACTCGACCAATTCCCCAGAAAAAAAAAGATATTTTTTTTTTTCTAAAAATAAGAAGGCTAAAAATACCTGAGATTCAGTGGCATGTATCATGCTTCCGTACCACGCTGCTGTAATGTGGCTCGTGCCAAAACTCTACTGCAGTAATAATAGATCGATCAGTTAACGCTCCAGCCGTAGAGGTTGGGACTGTAATAGGTGATTAGATTTTATTAATAAGTACATGTGCATTTACCATAACATTTGAGAGCGAAAAAAAAAAAACAGGAACATATCCATATTTATAACGGAATCAACAATTTAATTGAATGGTAGGCTTTCTCGCCGACTAACGATAAGCCTAAACCCAACTACCTAGAGTTTGGCATGTGAACTTTTGTGTGGGTAAACCATAAACATCATCCCAATTATATCCGAACGGCTAAAAGGTGCCACATTAGCATGTTCACGGTAAACAGTACAGATATTCTATAAACCACAGTAAAGGGATAATAAAATAAAACCGGAAGGGTGGTACACACTCAGAAACTGCGTGACTGCAAAGCTGATCGTCCGCGTTTCGTGTTTAAAGAGAGCCCAGCGTCGGAAGTTGTAATACATCCCAAATCAGGAGTTTGTCGTACGTGCGGCGAAGTGAGCGTGTGCGCGTTTCTTGTTGCTTCTGTAAAGACAGGACGCCGTGGCAGCTAGGCCGTAGATTGAAAAAGGCTTGGAAATAACTGTTAAGCGACACAGATAGTTTCCAATCATACAGTACTAATAATGATCGTGTCTAGTCCTATACACGATAAAAATCCTGCAATATGTATGATTTTTAGACATAAGATACGATTATGAATATAAATACAGATCGCCAGAATTGTACGAAGTTGCAATTTATAAGTAATGCGTTTACTCATTAACAGATGACTACATCGACGACTACATCAATTTAGAAAATTTAACACTTCGTAAACATACGTGGTATAATAATAAATCGTAATCACCATTATTTCAATTAATATGGAGTTATAATACAATTGGCTTCGTACAACCATTTCTTCTTCTTCTGCTGTGTCGAAAGTATAGCTGTTTTTTCCGCTTAGTCGCCCCGCTGCTGCCCGTCTGTACTTATTTACATGACGATAAGCGATTCGATAGGTGCGGACGAGGAACTCGTTTAAAATGTTTGTAAAACGTATCATGACTATGAAAGACTGCTGTACCCCGACCCTTCAAACGATTTAAACATTGATTATTTTTGAGATATCAGAGTAAGTGCACGGCCAACTGCGTCGCGTCACATGATGTTGGACGTTTCTGGTTAGCGTCTGACACTGGTTTGTCAAACAGTGCTATTTTATTAAGCTGTCAAAAAGATGTTGTGGGGTGCCTCGTACAAACTAACGTCTTCACCATGGCATCACTCGGGCAAGCCATGAACAATAGAGGACTTCAAGAGAATGTAACTTACCATAACGTGCAAAGCATTAGGTAAACAATATACACGTGCACAAGAACTAAACACCTCACGCCAGCATTTGTATGAGTGTGTTTGTTTCCTTAATCTATACGACAAATAGCGACAATTTAAGACCAGAATAGACAGGAAATTGTGATCTCAGTTATAGGTCTGAGTGAGCCGCGCCGTCGTATAATACAGTAGGAAAAAGTAAGTTGATATTTACGAAATTGGTAAGTATCTAGCAGCACTATCGAGTGATCTAACCCTACTTTACATAATACATGTCAAAGCTGCAGACACATCTGTGGATATCTCCTACAGTGACCCTAGGCGTTCATGCAAACTATACATTCAAACCAAATGCTATCGAAATCGCGATATTGTACTTAAAGCCAACAAATATACGGTTTTGTTCGAATAAAGAATAAATCTCAGTGA